CTGGGTGGCTCTTCCCTAGGTGACTCTCCTGCAGGACTCAGCAAACTCGGCTTGGCCCCACACCTTGGGTCTGGCGCTGTGACCTTTCTGAGATCATGATATCATTTGTTTGCAAGGTTTAACTTCCACAGGGCCACTGGGGAGAAGAATGGCCAAAGCCCCACGGAACAGGAATGCTGTCACAGCTCTCTGCTCCTCTGAATTCTCCGCCATGGATACATCGAGTGCTACGCGTGTTCTTTTCCTTTGTGCTAGGGCCTGGACCTAACACCTCATGTTTTCTAAGCAAACACACTTCTCCTGAGCTACACCTCCAATTTCAACATGTAATTTTAAGAACATCCTAAAATTTTAAGAGTTGCCACTTACAAAATTAAAAATTAAAAAGGGGGTAAACCAGACATTTCCTGATGCATTGCCAGTCAGCTCTTCAGATGAAGTGTGACACAGAAGGCAGACTGGGAACACCTGGCCAGCACAGAAAGGGTCAGAGCATGGCGAATACAGGGGGACACTGAGCCTGGCAGGACAGGAAGGGACTGTATTTGGAGTGACCTTGAACACAATGTTTTCCTAAGATGTGGGAAATTTTAGCTGGAACAGAGTTGTCCGAAGTGCTGGTCCTTGCAGAAGGAGCCTCGGCTAGCCCTCACATTTTCTGGAATGCTGGTCTCATGGCTGAGTAACCTATGGAGACTCAGTAAGACAGGAGCAAAGGCCCAAGGGAGAATTCATCTGGGACCCTGGGACTTGCTCTCCATGTCTCCTGGATGTTAGGCTCAAGCAGGTGCTATGAGCTAAAGATGCTCACCACACGGCCCCTGCCATCTCAAGGAGAGTGCAGTCAACAGGACCAAACCGCAAGAGGCTCAAGAGGTTTCGAAGAGACTGGTAGGTTATGAACCAGAAAGCCACTGAAGGCCTGAGAGCCGAGGTATTTCTGGCAATATCAAGAAGTAGGGAGGTGTGTACTAGAGTAAGCTTAAGGGATGGTTTGGGAATTGCAAACCACAAAGTTACACTGGAAAACTTGAGGGCTATGAAAGAACTTTCAAAGTTTATGAATCTGGAAGATATAAGTCCAGTAGATCTACATTAAGGTATTCCAACTAGAAAAATATCAACACAGCGATAACCAAAACTTTTAAATGGACACACGTTTTACAAGGGACATGAAGTCTATGCTGCAGCCGCTGCTCTATAATTTTAAAGACTATCTATGGTGCCACAACAGAAACAGAAACATCTGCACATTATGCACATGAAATGCCTTAATGCTACCACAATCGCGTGCCACACAACAGTCCACTCAGCAGCAGGCCCCCACACAACTGTGTCCTAAAGAGACTATGTAGCCTAGTAACATCATAGCATTCTAATTTGTGTGTATACATCCTATCATGTCATCCTCCAACACACTTCTCAGAACATCTAGGAAACAGAAAGCGACTTATTTACTATCTGCCATTGAGTGAATGAAGGAAAAAAACTAGGAACTAGCTGAGGAATTCTACAGTAAGTCTAAGACAGTAGTGAAAAGTAACATGGAAAAACTCTGCAAGACAAAAGTTGCAATATGCAATATAGCTTTGATTGTATTATGTGAAAATAAGTAGAAAACCAGCCTGGAAGCCAACACACAGGGCCCAGCAAGTCACAGGTGCAGACTGTAGGATCAGGGGACTCAGGGGAAGTTTAGTCACTCTCTAACACTTTTGCAAAAATAAAATGACTTCATTAGCATCTTAAAATAAAAAATGATGCTGTGAGAGATTTCAGAGGAGATGGGAGGGTGGCCTGTGTGCACAGTGCAACAATGTTTTCATCCAGGTTCTGAGTCTCTGCCACGGCTTACACCTGAGAGTTCCGGAACAAGGGCAAGCTTAAAACTGCATAGTTTTAAGCTGTGAAGACTAAAAAAATCAATCAAACAAACAAAAATATCCCACACATTTTTCTGCCTTTCCAGGGAAAATGGAGTATAATAGGAGGGGAGAGGAGCTATGTATGAAATGTTGGTACTTATTCAATACAAAAGTATATACAGCACTACACAGCATCCCAGAGTAAGAGCCCTACACAGCACCCCAGGATAACACAGACATACACAGCACCCCAGGGTAACACCGCCCTACACACCATCTATTTTAGAAGACATTTACAGATTGTTGAAAAGACTAGTCATGCTGCAAAGGTTAAAGATCCTTCTACATAAAATAATAGAAACAAAGTATCTCGAGAGACAGAACAGCCATAAGATTACCTTCTCTGTATACCCACCAGCATTACAAGAAGAGCAGGCACTGAGAGGAAGACAGTTCTTAGTCAAGAACACTCAGGAACTCCTGGAGGGAGGCAGGGCTGAAATGGCTCATCAAGAATGGGGACTGGGGTTGTTGGGTGTGGTAGCACAGGCCTTTAGTTTCAGCACTCGGGAGGCAGAGACAGACGGATCACTGAGTTCAAGGCCAGCCTGGTCTACCAAGAGAATTCCAGGACAGCCAGGGCTACACAGAGAACCCTATTTTGGAAAACAAACCAAACAACAGGAAATGGGTTCTTTTGTGGGGTGTCGAGAATGCCCTGGTATTAGTAGCAGGAGATGCAGAGTTTACAGAGAACTACAGTTCACTGATTTGAGACTGAAAGAGTGAATGTCACAGTATATTTACTATATCTCAGTTTGCACACAGATGTGGCCATGTGACTCAACAGACAATGTGGCAAATACACGGTGCACTTGAGTTAGGAGTTAGCCACAGACCACACAGGAGTCTGTATGTTAGAAAGGGGACATCAAGAAGGCCTAAGACAGGAAAGGAGGGAGGCAAGGACAGTGGACATCTTTGGGGACACAGCTGTACACCTGGACCACTTCAGTCTCAGCCAAGAAGCCCATGTCAGGAAGCCATGGGTCAGTCCATAAAATGCCAGCCTGAGTCTACACAGCCTGAGCCAAAGCAAGAGCACTGCACAGAGAATGGCCGCCCAGGTGGGGAGAAACAAGCCTGCACTTCATAGATCTCACTGGCTGAACCATGGACCGCAGCCTTTGGTCAGGTTCCACCTCTGTCAAACAAAGAGAAACAGGGAGAGTAAGGAAATCAGCATGAAGGAAAGCAAGGAGAGGGCAGTGCTGCCTCTTTAAGAGGCTCCTTGGAGATGCTCAACTGCAGAGAGCCTGGAGAACACAACATTGATTGGGAATGAGGTAACCACAAACACCACTGTCTCAAATGAAAAGGATTCAAGAGCTGACCCAGAAAACAAGCACCGTAACCACCAGATAAAATTTTAATGATAAACACAAGATGCTCTGTACACAAGCAAGATCGGAGGGTCTCGGACTGAGCCATCAACTGAAGCTTCTCTGAGAGAGAGGAGCCTCTCTGACCCCTAGCTCAAGTTTCACACGATCAATGCTCAGAACACTGGTATGGCTGGGCCTTTGGTGGCCTATCTAGTGCCGGGCAGATCCCAGGGGGAGGGAGGCAGGGGAGGGGAAAGCGGCTGCCTTTACAGCCGTTGTCTCTGGGGCTCCATGTTCAGAGAAGTGCCTAACTGGACTTGGGAAGGAGTCGCCTACATCTCCAATCTACCATGATCCTTAGTGCAGCCTGAGCATTGCAGCCTTCTTATGCACTTAGGCAGAACCCTGAAGTCAGAATATTGTAACCCTGACTGGTTAGCTCAGAGAATCACACATTACAATGAAGTTGCAGGTTAGCCCACATCCAGACATCCAGACAGACAGACAGCAGGTTACCTACTCAGATGTAAGAGCTGAGGGGTCTCTCTTAAGGATATTAGGCCAGTGAATAGAAGCTAAGGAAAGTTGGCCTTCCTGGCCAGATCCTCTTTAAAACAGAAGGGCCAGTGGGATGTCTTGGTGAGAAAGAGTATCCGCCACCAAACCTGACAACCTGAGTTAGATCGCTAGGACCCACACAACAGCAGGTGAAACCAATCCTGCAAGTTGTCCTCTGACCTGCACACATGTGCTGTGGCACATGTGTACCCTCCCCCACAAAACACAAACAAGTAAATAAAGTGTAATAAAGAAACAATTCTTTTATAGCAGGACCTGCCATAAAATATTTCAAAACTCTGTTTGGAATTTCAATTCAAATGGTGCTTTGATCTTTTTTTTAACATGTCATTTATTTTGGAGGGTGGTGCATGTGCCATGGCACATATGGAGGCCAGAAAACAACTTGCAGAAATTGGTTCTCTCCTTCCACCAACAAATAATAACTGTGGGTGTTCGCATCAGACTCACTTGTCAGGTTACTGGCTACACTTTGACTCTGGGCCATCTTGCTGTCCTTCACTGAGGAATGCTACTTAAGGAAGGAAAAAGTCGAAGGAAGGACCAAGTGACTATTGACTGTGTAAGTCCAAGGTTGGCTCTTACTTCTGCTTTCCTCCAGGCAGGAGGCCCTGTGGCAGCTCCCACAAAGCTAACCGTCTCCGAAGCTTAGGAGCTCCATCCTTCCCCTGTGTGCTTTCTGGAACACAACCTGAGATCGCAAAAGTATATAAAGTTTACGTTTTTATATACTAGCTCAAGAGACGTCCTAACCCAAAAATAAAGTTGATCTGACTGTACAATAAAGAAACCCATGTCCAGATGTCTGCAGTAACAACCTTGAAGAATTCCTCACAGTGGGTTCTGGAACACCAGCCAAAGGAACTCACAGAAGCCAATATTAAATTTCTCAGCCAGGAGAGCACAAACACCTGGCTGCAGGTGAGGTGAAGCTGCACCTTGTGGGGAAGGATGACCATGTGTCCACAGCCTCCCTTCACACTGGGGAGCCAAGCAGGGTCTTCAGACACTGGGACAAACAGGTACTCACCTGCCCGCACACCCGCCCCTGCTATGCAGCTCCCAGGCCCTAGGACAGAGCCCTAAGAGCAGCTGAACTAGGGTGCTTGGGCAGAGGACAGAGGGTGAAGACACAGACTGAGCTGACGAGAAGGAACATGGCTTTGCTTACCCTGCGATGACGACACCATCATGAGAGCGCACATCACACAAAACGGCATCGGGAACGTGTTCCAGCTCGCTCACGGCGCCTTTGCGATTCTGTTTGAGGAGAAGGGGGAGTGTGGTTTATAGTCTTGGGACAGCCCCTTGATAACATGTTCCGCTCTCACGTACATACATGTCATCGTCATCTTTAATGGCATGGACCACACTCAAGTCAATGGGCATTCAGGAGGATAAAATGGCAACACCATGCATGGTGAGCCTATTCCAGAGGCACTGCATGGAACAGTGGATATGAGGTGCTGGACTGTCCCCAGAATGTCACCATGTAGGAAGAAGTATGTGCACACAGGAAGTGTCCCTGCACATGGCAGGGCCTGAAGCAGTGAGTGCGTCAAGTCCAGTAAGTAGTTTAGCTCACAGGAGGAAGCACTCAGGGACAGATGTGTAAAAGAATTTCCAGAATAAAGGAAAGGTGCCATTGTCACCAAGTGTCAGACTTCTCAGGGAAATGGTGTTTGGAGAAAAGCCTAACCTGGAACTTGGGTTGCTCCTTGAGAACATTAGGTAGGGAGTTGAGAGTGACTTGTGTGACTTCTGGGCTACTTCCCATGATCAGTGAAATGGTCTTTATATTGGAGAACTGCCAGGTGCTATCTGAACTCACTGAGAAGCTGTCTCTGAAGGGACATGGAGACACTGCCTCCCATTTTAGACCTAAGCATGGTCCTGGCTCCCTCCTGTGGAGAGGGAAAAACAGCAAGTAGCTGGGGCATTACAATTTCATCCTTCCTGGCCCTTGGGAGGCAGAGACAGGCCAGTCTCTGAGTTTAAGGCTGGCCTGGTTTATAGAGCCAGTTCCAGGACAGCCAGGACTACACAGAGAAACCATATCTCGAAAAACAAAACAACACAACAAAAATCTCATCCTTAAACTGGGTGTGGTGGTACACAACTTTAATCTCAGTCAGCACCGGGAGCAGAGGCAGATGTCTCTCTGTGAGTTTGGGGCCAGTCTGGTCTACACTGTAAATTCTAGAACAGCCAGGGCTACATAATAGACCTTGCTCAAAACAAAACAAAACAAAACAAAACAAATAAACCCCTCAGCTCTGAGTACCAAGGAGTTACCAAGCCAACTGCCAGAAGGTAAAGTTTTTCCACAAAGGTGACACAGCTGTTCTTCCTATGGCCTAAACACCCGTGGAAAGAGATGCTGGAAGCTCATCCTGGGACAGCACTATAGATGGAAAGCTCAGCCATGCAGACAGCTCTCCATCAAACCTCCCAGTTCATTTCTGCTGGGAGTTTTAGGCACAGTTTGATGGTGTAGCCTTTGTATGCTCTCTCCATCGGGCTACTCCAGCCCTCTCTGCTAGATGTTGTGAGCGACTGGTTTGATTTCTTGCTACTTGCTGCTTCTCTCTACCCACTATTTATTCCTTTACTTTTGCTTGCTATATACTTAATAAATTTATTCATTCAACATCCAAAGTATAGCTATCATACATCACTCTCCAGACTGCACATGTTACTTACTGTCAAATTCAGAAAACGTTATCAATTATGTTTAAAATAAAAATGAAGGGAATCTGAAGGGATATTAAGTATCTGTGTAGGAAACAGAACACAATAAGCATAAACACACTGTTCAAGAGTATTCTATTATCTGAACTGTCAGCTCTGCTGGCCTGGCCCACGGTTAACAGTAGATGCATATGGACCACACCCAGTTGTTAGCCACTGTGATTATTATGCCGTTAGGAAAATATGGTGGCATCCATTCCATTAAAATCAACAGCCATTAAACAGCTATGTCACTGAAATTGGGCAACAGAATTTGCATAATAACCCAGCTTAATCCTCAGGTCAAGTCTACAGCCTAAGGGCAGAAGACCTTCAGGGTTGTCAGATGGAAATAACTGAGCTGAGGGGAGCCTGGGCATTATCTGGGGGAAAGTACTGAGAGAAAGCAGAGGGCTTGAGATGAAACTACACCCCTGCACTCACTGAGCTCAGTAAAATAGCTGCTTTCCCACGCCAGGCTCCAATCATACTGGTTATTCTCATTCTAGACAGATCTTAGAATGCCAGGCTGGCAAACACCAGAAGAAAAGCTTCATGGCAGCCTTACCCTCCTATCAACTCATTTCCAGTCAGCTCTGAACTGCAGGTCCAGGCAGACATGCACTCATGGCTCATGCCCTAGGAGGCGGTCCTTAGAATTCTAGGGGCTTCTCTGGGGTTTCCAGACATGGACCTAGGAGTTACCACGCCAACTGCTTGCCCAGCCTCTCCTGAAATGGATCTCAGTTAGGTCGGACTCACTGTACCTGTGACTTGGCCAGAGCCCTGAACATAGGCAGAGTCAGGCTCCATAGGGGCCACATCAAGCCATCCCTAGGTCCACCTTCCCCACAGCCCCAGGCCTGGGAGCAGTGTTACTCTGAGCCACCCAGATTGAGAATGGAGGCATGCAGAGGTTAACAGCTGCCACGATGCCCTTTGCACTTGTCGATGTGATGAAGGGTTCTTTCCAAAAGTGCACTAAGATCTCCATCTTAGTGAATGATCCATCACCAGATGGTCCTCACTGCTTACAGTTCTGGGAGGTGACCCAGGATGCCAGAAGCCCCTCATGTGCAGCTCCCCATCTAACCAGAGAACAGAAACTGGGTGACATCATATCTTCCTTGTGAACTGTTACAGAATGCCAAATGCTCTTTACTTCTACAATATCTAGCCCAAATGAGGACACCCTGCCCTCCTCCCTTTGCCCCCACCCTACCACACACCCCAAAGCAGCAGCATAAGCAGAGCTGTTGATTTCCCTCAGCTCCGACAAGCTACCTCTCTGGTTCCCACATCTCTGGACAGAAAGGTAAGAAAGCCCAGCTCTAAGCCTTCCTTCCCCCTGCCTTCAGGTGGACTGGGGGCCCTACATCAAGTCAGGCTTTATCTGAGCAGCTTTCTTCCACAGATCATTCTGTCCACCCATCAGAAGACCTAATCAGGTAGGCTGGCTCCAAACAAGCCTACTTCCTTTTACCTTCTGTGGATACAGACATCCCGGGGCCAGTGAGATGCTACTGTGTTGGCAGTGTTTTCATGGGCTAAGAAGACTGGCTTAGCCAATTCAATTCTCCATCGATGACTAATTCTTAACTAGGAACAATTTGTCACCTAGGAGACATCTGGCAATGCCTGGAGACATCTTGTGTGCCACAACAGGGGCAGAGTGCTATTGGCATCTAGTAGGGACCCTGGGGTGCTGTTTAGCATCCTACAAAGAGCTGGCCCAACATGACCAGTGCTGAAGCTGGTAATCTCACAGGAGAAAGCACTTCTCAATGGTGCTATAGAGCCAGTGCATTGGTCAGTAACCTGGTTACAAGGTGACTAGAGACAGACATACACATAGGCAATATGTCGCCACCAGTCATGAAAACACTTTCTTGCCTCAAAGTCTATTTGGATTGACCCTGAAGTGAGAGGAGGGCCTAGTTCTACCTCATCTCCAATGAGTGAATTCCCAGCTGCCTAGGTGGGAAAGCAGCTTGGTCATACACCACCTCCTTGCTGCACCTCACACAGACCTGCAACACGCTTCCTGACAGCTTGCTCTTCCAGAAATGCTTCTCTGCAAATGCTTAGCTGTGATCTAATATTTCTGTAGAGCCTCAAAGTGATAAATGCCAGGGCGGCAAGCCAAGGGTTACGTGAGGGAAGAGCAGACAGCACTCAGCACCATATCACCTCTCTAGCAGCAGCTCCGCAGGGGCCTCCAAGCGCCTCTCCCTGTGCCTGTGTGCACCGTGCTGCTGCCTTGTCAGTCCTCTGGGAGGGGAGGAAAAGAAAGGGGGAGGGGTCTAACAGAGCAAGACTTCAGTGACCCTAACCAGTCAGGAAAGGCGGTGTCAGACAGCCCACCTCAGACCTCTTCCTGCACAGCAGGAGGAAGCTGTAGGCCCAAGGCTGAGAGAGGGGCACGTGTAAGGAAGATGCTGAAACCGGCAGTCACAGGAGGCTGGGGCTGCTCAGCACACCCTGCTCCCTCCACTCTGGGAATGAGCCTCAGGCCACAACTGCAGGCCTGCAGTCCAGTGTCCCTGTAGGCCGTTTGCCTCAGGGGATGCCACCAGCCACTGCCTACCTTCCAGTTGGTTCTTAACATATGCTCCTTGGCAAGGCACTCCTGCAAGATGAGCTTCCAGCAGGAGTAATCAGAGATATGGTTCTTGGAAAGGTGCCCCTCCTGCTGACACAGCCGGTACCACAGCACCTCGTCTTCAGAAATCACCTTCCATGTCTTGCTCACCTAGAACGGCACAAGGGACGCAAATGTCAAGATCTGCAATTAGAGAGGCCTTGCCGTCCAAAATCAATCAACACCTATATTATAGCCCCAGGCTTATGGCAGCATAAAATGTCTCATTAACAAAACACTCTGAGGTGAAAAAAATACAAGCAAATGTTTCCAGGTTTATCTTTCAAGATTTCAAAACTGTTATGCTACCATGTAACATCACATTTTAGATGGCGTGATAAATCATCTAACAAATCAAAGAGAAAAAAATGCACCAATACACAAAGTGCTAAAAGAACAAACTTGAACACGGTAAACACCACAAACACACCAAGCTTTCCAGAAGAGTGTGTGGAAAGATTTGCATGACCATCTTACCAATCGCAAGTCTGATGGCCTGTGATGTGGAAGGCTTTATCAACTAAATTTCTGATGGCACAAAATCCAAATTTATGCTACATGGAGAACTCTTACATGTACAGATGAAAGCGTAGTAACAGCATTAATGTGACACCTGTGCTGTTGTGCAGGACCACAATCCATGGTGGAGAAATGACTCTTGCATCTGGCACAAATCTTCAGTCCCCACAGCATCAGGAAGAACTGACTTTTGAATTCTCGGGATGTTGCTTTCCAGCCCTCATTAGGGGTGCAGCAGGCTTACTTCATCACAACACAATGCACAAAGATGGCCAAAATAGAAGGCATGGACTCTCATGGCCAATGAGAAACTGACCCCATAGATCAGCATAACCAGCCTACAGCATGCACTGGAGATGCAAGATGGAGGCCATGTCTGCTGCTATCCTGAGACTGAAGCTCACTCCTGGTAAACAGAGAGGGCCAGCAGCATACAAGAAACTACACTTGTTACCACTCCTTGGGACCACGTCAGACATTGGCAGAGGAAGGAAGAGAACGTGACTGAGGGGGACCAGCTGGGATGGCGGTGTGCAGATGTCTCAAAGTCTGCTCCTCCACGGTGGCAATTAGAGAACTACCAGAAATGAAGGTCGGGCTGGGGCTGCAGCTCAGTGGTAGAGTGCTCAGCTAGCATGTGTGAGGCTCTAGGTCTGACTAGTACCCCAGGGGAGAAAGAAAATGGGTTGAGGAGGTGGGTTGGTGGGTCTGGTGTTTGCTGCAGTGTAAGGACCTGAGTTTGGATCCTCAGAGCCCAGATCAAGCTGGACACAGCAGCCTGACGCTTATGGAAAGGTGGGAGGCAAAGAAAGACGGGAGAATGCCTGGAATCCGAGGGCCAGCTTGTACACATACACAGTGTGAACAAGACACCCAGTGAGATGGCTCAGTAGTTCCAGTGCTTGCGCACAAGCCTGACAACTTGAGTTCGATCCCACATGAAGGTGGGATCTCTGACCTCCATATACAAATGTTGTGATACGAATATACCATATACACATGCACGCCATACACACACGTGCACCTTAAAAACATGCACACCACACGCACACACCATACACACAATGATTAAGTTAACTTTAACTCAACATGGAAGGTGAGGACAAGCACCTTAGGCTGTCCTCTGACCTCCATGTGTAAATCGTGACTTGCATCCACCCACACTTAAACTTGTATCAACAGATTTTTTTATTGACATTTTCAGAACCACGGGAAGTAATGAAAAGCTTGAACGTACTAAAGGCCAAGTACTCAATAAGTAAATAAATCAATAAAATAAAAATTAAAAAGGAAGGCAGGGTGTGGTGGTGCACGCCTTTAATCCTAGAGCTCACGAAAGGCAGGCAGTTATATGTGAGTTCCAGGCCAGCCTGGACTACAAGTAAGTTCCAGGCTAGCCAGAACTACATAGTAAGACCCTGTCTTTAAAACCAACAAGGGAAAAAGAACGGCTGCTTGGTAAGGACTGTGAGGCTGGACTTGAACTTGTGTTACCTCTTCCTTCAGCTCCCTAAAAACCAACAGCCTCACATTTCTAACAGCTACACAACCAGCAGTATTGTGGTGGGGGCACAGGACAGTCAGGCTTTGAGCTTACCAAACCTAACTTCTAAAAAGCTGGCAGCAGCTGACCTGCCTGGCAGATTGCCGGAAACCACTGTGGAGGCTTTATCTGATCTGTCTTACCTGCAGGGCAGCTGTTCCAAACACAGAGCGTTAAATAAGCTCAACACTGCTGGCCCAGCACAGTAGCTCACACCTGTACTCCCAGCACTCAGGAGGTTGAGGCAGAAGGACTACCATGAGCTCAAAGCTAGCCTGGACTATAGGGAGTTGTGGGCCTGCCAGAAATAATAACAAGCCCCTATCTTGAAGGAGAAGGAATTGTTTTAACGTTGCAGCACTTGAGAAGGCTCTGTTGTGGGGACTGACAAGATGCCGACCAAACAACTCAAGAGGAAAAATGAGAATGAGTGAGTGCCCACAAGAGTTTTGAAAATTCCTGCATTTCTGGAAGTCTAGCATACCACATATAGGGGTTGGGTTGAGCACTTGGGGTTGGGGGGATGTTAAGAAAGCCCTGACTTCTAGAGTCCAGCTGGCCTTGAACCTTTGCACAAGCATAAAGCCAGGGCTAAAGCAGAGCTGTGACCTGCTGGGATGGAAAGGTGTGTCCCAACATACAATGGGCCCTCAGCAGAGGCTGGAGGGCCTCTGCTTTAAGGGAGTGAAGAAGCCTCCATTCAATCCATAGTAACACCTAGGCAATAGTTAGCCTGCTGTTGGGGGGAAGTCCTGTGCATTTGTCAATAAAGCACTGCTGGCCAATAGGAATCTAGATAGGTGGGACTAGGAGTCCAGGAGAACTCTGGGAAGGAGAAACACAGGAGTCGAGATGTAACCGTCATGGGGTAGGAAGCCCGGAAACTTCTCCGGTAAGAGACATACTTAGATTAACAATTATGGGGTAATTACTTAAGTCGGAGCTAGCTAGTAAGAAACAAACAAGGCCAACAGCTTCATAATTAATATAGCCTCCTGTGTGTTTATTTGGGACTGATGAGGCTCTAGAACCAGGCTGGCAGGAAGGCTTCTCTCAAGGAAAAAGCTTCTCTTACAGCCTGCCCCTTCCACAGAGGCAGGAGCAAAATGTTTAGGCACAGGCTCTGCCATAGAGTCACAGCCCTCACCCTAAAAGCCCGCTGTAAACAAAACAGAATCAAGTATGAAACATATAAACATGAAAGGAGACCCTAGCACGGGACAAAACAGTGGCTGTAAGACACGATGAAGGTCAGGCTCAGGACCAACATCTTAGTCAGGGGCACAGAACATCAAGAAGCAACTAAGGAGAAGCTGTGAGGGAGACCTCTGAGTTGAGAGCAGAGTTCACTGCAGCAAACATTCACTAGAGGGCTCACTGGCCAATCTGAGCTGGTCAGGTGAGATCATCCACTCTAAAGAACAAAGCCTCGGAAACCAGTGCTTGCCAATAGCCAACTGCACCAAGTCTGCAGACAACAGGGCCTGGAGTAGAGATCTTCGATGAAGTGGCTGAACTGAGGATCACTCACTGTAACCTGGGCAACTGTTATGAGAATAACCAAAGCTGGATCTGGTGGAGCACCCCTGTAATCCCAGCTTTGGAGGCAAAGGCAGATGGAGCTCTGTGAATTCCAGGAAGCCTGATCTATAGTGAGATCCCACTTCAAAACAACAAAAATAATAAGTGATAATAACAGTATAACAAAGAAAATAACTCAAAACTGTTAGTAAAATGGCACATTAGGAATTATGTTTAATGCCAGGCAGTGTGGTGCATGCCTTTAATCCCAGCACTCAGGAGGTAGAGGCAGGTGGATCTCTGTGAGTTCGAGGTCAGCCTGGTCTACAGAGTGAATTCCAGGACAGCCAGGGCTACACAGAGAAAGCCTGTCTCAAAGGAAAAGAAAAAAAAAAAAAATGAAGCTTCCAACTACTACGAATATCTCACTGTTCTTTCTCATTTTTCCATCAGGAATTTCAACTTACTTTACATTCTTTAAGGTCTTTCAAAATGTGAGCTAGAGTTCAATTTTTTTTTTAGTTCCAAAGGGTAAGGCTAGAGACAGCTCAGCTGCTAAGATCACTGACTACTCTTCCAGAGGATCCAAGTTCAGTTCCCAGCACCCACAAGGGGACTCTCAAGGGGAACTGATTGGCACCCTCTTCTCACAGGTACTGCACGAACACGGTGCACACACATACATACATGCAGGCAAACACATATAATCATAAAATAAATACTTTTTAAGTTCCAAATGGGGCTGGGGAGATGGCTCTATCATAAAGTACTTGCCATGCAAGCATGGGTACCTAAGCTCATCCCCAGAACCCACATAAAAAACTGGCTATGAAAAAAAAAACTGGCTATGTTGGCATGCATTTGCAATCCCAGATTGGGAGGGGTAGAGAGGCAGGAGAATCCCTGGTGCTTGCTGACCAGCCAGCCTAGCCAGACCAGGGTGAGCTCTAGGCCAATGAGAGCAGTTAGGAAAAAGAAGATAAGAGTAGACAGCATCCGAGGGATGAACCTCTGGCCTCCACATGTATGCATGCACACGTGTACCCCATCCCTCATGAACACAAGGTTCAATCTCACTTCCATGACATTGTCTTTCCATACCTAAGTCCTAAAGTTTCTAAACATATTGAACTTCACCCCAGTGCCTACTGATCTACACTCTTGCACTCACTAGCTATTTTCACACCTATCAGTCATTGAGAAAATGTGATCTGCGGGTCTTTGTGTCTTATTTTTAAGAGGGAAGAATGAGAGGGAGGGGGAGCTAACCAAGACGGAGCTGAAGACAAACCACGGATCCTAGCCCACAGCTGACATGGATCCATTAAGCAGCCCACACTGGCCCAGCCACACCGTCAGTCACACATCCACTTAACCGCACTGTCAGGCCACACTCCTCTACCTCAGCCCTCATCTGAGCACACGTGTCAGGCCATAAAGACCAGGAAACAACTCAGTAAAACACAGACCCGGTTTTACTAGACAGAACACTGTGGTTTTATTTTTGGCGTGTTCGGTCCACAGCTGA